AATTATAAATTTCCAAAATACAAAGAACATTTATACGGCATGTTTACTCGTCTGTTGGAAATCTTATATGTTTTACATGTACAGTACAAATAAAGACCTTGTAACAACTGCATATAATAAAAGAACTAACACAATATAAAATAATAGATATTTTGAATAATTTATGTCTAAGAAATAATAATAAAGGAAAATAAAGGAAAATAATGGAAATAATAAACAATAACAGCGAATGAACTGACCACAAATAAATTAGACGGATCATTCTTTATGCTGGATGAAGCAAATTAAAACGGTGATCCAGAATGTCGAGCAAAACCGACATCAGTTCATATATATTTAAGAAATATTATTCACACCCTCATTACGTAAGTTTTACAGCCGTTTACATGAAAATTTAGAACAGATCTTAAAATATTTTTTTTAAATACTTGAATACTGAGTGAGTCATCATTTTGACCCTTCATTATTATCATATATATTTTTTTAATTTAAAGAAACCAAATATATAATTTTACTATATCAGTTCTTATTTTTTTAAGAATTATTATTCATAATTATAAGTTAAAAAAAAAATATTATATATTTTAAAAGTATAATATTGACACAAATATAAGTATCTCCAAACAATAATGTTTTCAATTATGGGCAAACACAAACTATTTTAAGTATGGGCCTTTTTTCTTGTTCCGTTCTAATTGATATTCATTAATTTCAGAGATTTTATTACCGGAGAAAGATGTAAATTTACAAAAATTGAATATTGAAATATTATTGTTTCTATTAAATTAAAATATATTAATATTGATTTTAAAGCTAAGTTTCATTGTATATTCGTCCCCTTTGAAATGATAGTGATATTGTATTTCTTGATATTGTATATAACCATGGCACATAATCACAAAAAATGGAAAAACCTATTTTAGACCGAATAATATAATAAAAAATATATAGACAATTTAAATTCGAAAGTAATAATATCAAAAATAGTAAAATAATGTTAAATTAATAAATGGTTCGGATGTAAAGAATAATTTAAAAATACATACTATTCTGGATAAAATTATATTCAAATTCTAGAAATTTATTAAATTTGAGAATTTTTTTTTTAAATTAATAGTAACAACAACAAATATTTTATGTCATTGCCATTTTTTATTTCATTACTAGGAAGCCGTGGATATAAATATTAAATTATTTTTGATTTCTTGAAAATATATACCCTTTATATATTGTGCCTAATAATATGTGGATTTCTCGGAAACCTGTTTCCCGATCTCGAGGATAAATAGTCAGCAGATGTCTGCTCATCTAACACGGTTATTTTCATAGCCGATAACTCAAAAGGCACTCTACAAACTACTCTTTAAAAAGATATTTTCGGGACAATAATGCTAATTATTCAATTTATTGTACACCACTGGGTGTACCGTAAATTATAAATATTGCTATAAAATTTAGGAAAATATAAATAACCTTTATATTTTAAAATTATTCTTGTTTGAAACATCTCAAGATTGCCAACTATATCTTATTTTCTGTGATAGGATAGTATATTTCATATATCATCTATTTCAGGTGTCTCCAAACCTTTTGGCCAGCGGGCCACATTGAGCCTCACACACGGCCGCATTGCGACTTTTACCTAAGTCCTATGGACCATAACTTCTGAAGAAAAAAAAATCGTGTTCGCTAAATGAAACTTCTTTTGTGAACTGAGCTTCCTAACAAAAAAAAATGAACTCAGAGGGAAAAAAAAAACATGCAATAAATGTAGTAATCACCTCTTGTGTTAGTAATTTGCTAAATTTCAGATTTTTTTTATTAGTTTTTAAATTTTATTATGTAATCAAAGTAACTTTCACGGGCCGGACTGGAGGTTCTGATAGATCCCTGATCTAAGTGGTAATGGACTTAACCAAGAGTTGATTTTAGATTCATTAATATAGAAACTTACTCATACTTAAATTATTCTTAATTTTAATGATAAGTAAAATATTGATTAAATATTTTATTATATTAATATTAAATAAAATATTAATATAATAAAATATTATATTTATTAAATATTAATTGGAGATCGAATGAGGTTAGATTAGGATTCTCAGTCAATATAAATTTATGTCGTAGTGATCATGTACTACATTAAGGGATGAGCAGCGTCTTAAGGTTTTTGAAAATAAAGTATTGCGTAGAATATTCGGACCGAAGAAGGATGAGTTAACCGGAGAGTTCAGACGGTTACACAACGCCGAATTGCGTGAGCTGTATCCGGGTAATATAATTGAGATAATTTCATCGCGGCGAATCAAATGGGCTTGTAAAGTTGTTGGGCTTAGTAACGAGAGAATTCCTAAAAGGTTAATATTTGCTGTGCCGAATGGTAAGCGTCCGAGGGGTAGACCGAAGCGAAGGTGGGAAGATTGCATTAAAGCTGATCTGAAGGAACTGGGTTTGGACGGCGAACGGTGGAGGGAGCTGTGTAACAAGCGATTGGTGGTGTCGGCATCGAACCTTCGCGTTCGCTAAGCCTTATTATTATTATATTATTGTCGTAGTGATCATTCTTAATCAAACCTCAAAGGCATAGATTAGAAGGTGGTGAAAAAAATTACGGTAAATTAACTTCTAGTAAATATAGCTCAAGACAAAATAACATCGAATTGAAAAATAAAATCCGAAGAAATGTTATACGTGAGAAAAAAATAATAATATTTTCATAGTAATTGAATTTTAACTGAAAAAGAACGAACATTTAAGATATTGTATTTAAAATTAAAACCATAAAATGTAGACAATATTCCCAAATATCTGAATAAACTTAAGGAAGTGAATTTATATTATATCAAGCTCGTGTTAGAGGAAAAACTGAAATTATCTATGAGAGGAAAAAAATCCCGTATTTCTAATTCTTTTATTTTTACAATATATTTTTTCTAGAATTGTCACAGCGCGTTAAAGACAAGTATGTAATGTTTAAAAGTACTTTCTGGTTTGCTTTTCTGAATATCCGAGTTTGGCCAGAAAAAACTCAAAACCGCTCATTATAATTAAATTGTATCTACAGTATTTTACAGTGTGGGTTCTGATATATAATATAATCAATGATAATTACGATTATGTTCAAAAATAAAATAAAATCAATCGATATGTAATATATTGATTATTCTATTATAATACATTAATAATATTCTCATTTAAGGAGGGCTGATAGTTTTCAGTAAGAAGAAGGTTTATTTTTAGGTTGCGCTACAATATTAATAGAATATTACATACTGATTGTAATATAGTAATTCAATACGAAGATAATAATAAAATAAATAGACAAAGATCTACATGCATATAGATCTTTGCTTATTTATTATATCATAATTTTCATATTGAATTACTGTATTATATATATATATATATATATATATATATATATATATATATATATATATATATATATATATATATATATATAATACAGTAATTCATCTATTCATATATATATATATATATATATATATATATATATATATATATATACAAATGAATTTTAATACGTTAATATTAATATGATTACAGTATTTTAATAGTACATTATTGATTTGTGTTTTGTAATATATAATTATAATTGATTTTATATAAAAAGTTGAAATAAATTGATTAATTTTCTTGTTATTAAAAATATCTACAAAAATATGTCATTCTCATCGTGACCTCAAGCAGTAGAGAAGCAACCTTTTTAATTTATTTTATCCTTATTCATTTATGTTCATTGTAAATGACAATTTTAACACACATATCCTCCTAATATCAAAATTGAAATATATTTTTGAAGATTATATATTTTTAAATGTGTTGCTCTATTTGATAAATATTAAATACATATTTCTTGTTTACTTATTTGGTTGAATTTTATTTGTATGCTTAAATTTCGGAGTTTTTATAAATCTGTGATATTCATCCTTATTAAAAGCTTTTCACACGCATACACTAGGCTATTTAAATAAACAAATCACATCGAGTTAACTTAATTCTAAATTATATTCAGATATCATTATATATTTGTTTCTACTAACATTCCTTGAAGAAAACTATCACGATTATAACATAATTTATATTTAAATTAAATATTTTATAAAATATAATGATTTGTCTTGATAGGGATGACTTTTTAAAAATTTAATTTTGTATATTGAGTAAAATATTATTTGTAATTGTAGAACCTCAATATGTTTAATAGTATTCACTATTCATCAACTATAAAACTAATAACTTGTAGTGATATTGTTATCATTTCGAAGATTACCTAAAGAAAAATGAGAAACTTCTAAGCATTTATCCTGGTTCAGGAAATCTGACTATAAATGAACTATAATAGTTATTCTTATGTCTTGTGAACAGTTAGGAGCAATAACGGGACCTAAGTAACTTCTTCTATTACTTCAAAATGATTTCAAAATATTTAATATAAACTTTCTTGATTTATTTTTTCTCTATGTATATTTTTTATTTCTTATTCTATTTAATTTGTTCAATCATCTTTGTTACTTAGCTATTTATTTCCCAGAAGATCGTCTTCGCTTGTACTGACTGAGGTCAAATCGGAGGCTATAATAATGAAGTAGTTTATACTTAATTTTGCTTTTCCCCCTTTGTTACAAAAACAAAAATTATTTTCTCAACTTCAAGCAGGGGTCTCGAAACTACGGTCAGCAAAAGTATCAGCAATCCGGTCCGCGAACGTTTCTTTAGAATACATTGTAGAATTTTATTTATTTTTTTTTAAATATATATTTTTACTACAACATTTATTACATAAGTTGTTTCTCTTAGAGAGTTTATTTCACAACTAAAGTATCATCTTTAGAACAAGCTTTTTTTATTTTTATCATTTGTCATAGCCAGCGGAGCTTGGCGGATGCCTCAATGTAGCCGGCAATTTTGCAAAATTTGGAGACCCTTACCTTAAAGTATTGCTCAGAATCGCCATGGCAATCACATGCATATAAATTCTAACATGATAGATTAAAATATCGGCATAGCCGCGAACTGTACTCACCTTTGCACTCGTTGGCGTCCTTGGCGGTGGCCCTGCCCCACGGCCTGTCGAAGTGGAACGGCTTGCACCTCTCGCAGTCCCTCCCGGCGGTGTTGTGCTTGCAGTCGCAGGTCAGCTGTCCCGCGGCGTTTTGGATGCACTTGGAAGCGTGCCCGTTGCACTTGCACCTCCCGCCGACGGCGAAGTCGGAAACGGCGTACTGGTAGGACATGGTCGCAGGGGTAGTGGTCACTATTCCCGTGATGACGTTCGGGGTATCCACCGCCACGTCCGACACCGGCTCCTGAAGCTCTTGTTCGGAAGTCAGCACCACCTTCTCCTTCACCTCTTCCCTTGGCTCTTCTGGTTCCTCAACGGTCGGGAATTGTAGGCGGTGGAATACAACTTTGATGTCGGTTGCGGTCACCCAGTCCTGAAGAACGGGAGAGTTGTCGAAGTCTCCGGCGCTCGGCCGTCCTTCTAGAGTGCTGAAGGCTATCCGGGATGCCATAGGAGAATCTCCTATGAAGCGGTGGGAATCGGTACACAAAGCTTCCTGTTCGTTGGCCTTAGTTATTGTGGCACGATTCGGACGTCCGTAGAACTTCCTGCACTGGCCTGAATAGAACTGGAATGGCTGCCATGTCTTACCGTAGTCCATGCTTTTGTAAATGGCTATGGAATCGGGTTTAGGAGCCTTGGGACAAAATTGTAGCGACACATAAGTCAGTTCATACTTCTTACCTAGGCTGAGCTTGAGGGTGACGTTGTCCGGAGGAGCATTGCTAGAAGTAGGAGGAAGGAGTGGTTCCGATCTCCAGCAGGTGACGTTGTTTGGGTTGTTGAGGTCCGTGAGGAAGGCTGGAGGATAGCGCTTCCGGAGTTGAGTGTCGTCGCAGACGGAGCAGGTATTCGGATCATCGCAGAAGCGAGTTGGTCCGAAGAGCCCACAGGTGGAACTGGCCTCGACGGGGGAGTTGAAGGCGGCGTTGACGAAGTCGGGGATGCACCTCTTAGGGCGGTCCTCTTCGTAGCAGGGGTCGAGCCCGGGCGGGCCGGGGGCGAAGAGCTTGAGGTAGTCGGGGCCGGCGAGGGCCCCAGCGGCAGCGAGGAGCACGAGGAGCGGGACCATCACTGCATCATGAGATATGTTCACCGGCCGAAGGACCGAGCGGTACTGGCCTGCCCCTCCCCCGCGCCATCCCCCCGCCCCGCTTCCACCCCCCTCCGCTACGATTTGTTTTTTGTCAGGGCTTCTAATGAGCCGTCAAATAACAGTTTTTTAGCCGCTACTTCCCACCTACCGGCCAATGAATTAATTTATAATTAACGATATCGGCTTCTCAGTTTATTTTCATAAATAAGTAATGCCACGGCCATTAAATATTTCAGGCGGTGTGATGACCACCCCCACGCCGTAGATCGTCAACCAGCTCGTATTCACTATAAATATAACTACTTTTCCTATAAGTTACATCATATCCGTTCTATTCTTATACGTGAGGCTCTACATTTCATAGACCTTAAATACTTCCTTATCCATCTCGTATATTTCACAGAAAGTATTCTGAAGTGTAATTATATTCATCAAATTATTATATTAGTTCATTCATGCAAGTAATAATTAAGTTTACTTATATTTAATTTTTTTATACTTCATTATAAAATTTATCAGTTTTAAGTTATCTTATAGGTGATATTGTTTCTTGTAAATATTTAATTTAGTTTTTCTAATACAAGTTGTTTTTATATATCAATATGATAATTTGTCATATATTAAGGATAAATAAAATATCAAGTATCATAAATATTGCTGACGAGCCGAGAATACATCTTTGGAAAATAAAATCATCTACTGCTTAAAGTATTTTATGTATCGTTTTATTGGACTATACTTCGCTAAACGCAAATTATGGGCATATTATTCCCTAGATTATATGTAAATCTTTTTATTTTTTTGTAAGAATTGTTTTAATTTTATCTTGATTTTTTACGATAAAACGTTAATTAACAATTTCACACGTTACACAGAGGGTAGTTATCCACTCATTTATTGGAACTCGAAAGATTATTTCACACCACGGACTGAAAAATAAGTATTCGAATATTAAAAATAATAAGTGAAATTAATATTATAAACTATTCCTAATAGTCGAATATAAACGGTTCATTTCTGCACATAAATTGTAGTTACAAGGTCTTGTAAACAATGTTATTCATCCACATAACAGCTGCATAAAATATGCTACATCACTTCTTCCTAAAGAATTCGCTATCCTAAATTTTCTAAATTAATGACAAGAACGCAGAAAAAAATGGCAATAGGATTATATAACATCATTTAAAAAAAAAAAACATGAAGGCTAAAAGTAGAAGTTATTTTTTTAAATTTTACTAGTTTATTGTCACTTCGATGTATAATAAACATAAAAGAATGTTTGCAATAATAAATTAAACTAAACAAACTGATAATCAAACATAAATAGACAAAAAATATGCTTTCGTAATATGCTTGTAGTATTTGCCGGTTCGATTCCATCTTGTGAAACTCAAGTCAAGACGGTTCGGCAGCCTATATCACTAGCGGATCCAGAATTTAATTTTGGGGGGGGCTTCAGCCCGAAACCTTTTTTTTTCATAAAAATAACGATAATTACTTTGGAAAAACAGAAAGAAACTAACTACCTATATGAAATGGTGTTTAAGTTATTCCTTAAGTACTTTTAAATGTAATTACACGAAAAATAATACTTTAAGAGGTATTTTTTAAATTTTTTTCCCATAAAACATGATTATATTTTTCCATTTTGGGGGGGGCTTCAGCCCGAAAGCCCCCCCCCTCCCGTAGATCCGCCCGTGGCCTATATAGACCTTCCGTAGGTCTTAAATCAAACCAACTACATAATATATTCATATTATTTAAAAAGACCGAGATATTTTAAATAACCCATTAACGGGCTTATCATCTCTAAAAAAACGGATACGGGTCAATAAAAGCAAGAGTAAATGTGTAGTTTTCAAAAAATATCCAATATAATGTCCAAAAAAATAGCAATTTTGGTTATCCAAAATTAACTCTTGAGCGGATGGACTTATTTTGTTGCTTCTTTATTTTTCGTGTTTGTGATTTCGGCCCCCAATTCCTATGCACCAATTCAATGCAGCCTATGCGTAATTATGGCAGAAAAAAAAATTATTTTCTGTACTGTAGTGCGGCTCTAATTTTGAAAAATCTTCTTAAAGTCTTTTGAATGAACACACTAAACATTTTACCATGTAAAACATTAAACTTTTAAATCATCTTTGGAAACTTAGCTTATACAAAAAGTCGAACCGTCACTAACGAAAAAGGGAATAGGCATATTAACTCTACTAAGCTGAACACACTAGAATGGTGTTATTTATGTTTTGGTTAACGGCCTGTAGGTATATAAATATTTTTGTACAAACGGCTGAACCGATTTTGTAGTCCATTAGCTTGAATAATTCAATTATACACCATTAGGGTAGAGAGAGAAAACAACAAAAGTTTGAAAAGAACAGTTCTTGATCTCAAACGAATGAACTATTCTTCCTAACGGATAACAAAAGTTGATTTTCTTTAGTTCGCCCGTTCGCCACTAGTCGAGTTGCTGTTTGATATGTATTTCGTTTCGTTTATTCCAAACGAAATAAAAGCTCTTTTCTACTTAACAACGAACCTATCAGGTCATCATGGAAATAACCCAACAGTTTTTTTATAAGACATGTTTCAACTGTTAAATTTAGGAATTAATTATTATTAATTAAGGCTAGAAATAAATAAAAACTTTTATTATAATTACACATTACTAAATTAACTTAAGCATAGTTGTAGGCAAAATTAGTTTATGTTTCTATTAAATGTATCTGTCTATATTAGAGTCTTGCAGACCGAAATTATTATGATTGAACAAATTCACATAAATTAATTTAATTTTATAAATAAAATTAAACTCTATTATGTTCTATAAAAATAAAAAAAGGCAAACAATTGGAAAATTGTTTAAACTATAGTTAAAAGACTCATGATGACCAAGCAGCATAATATCAAACTTCGAACATACAAGAAAGTCAAAATATTATTAAAATAAAATATGTTCTATGTGTAAAAAATAATTTTTAGTTTTAATTAGATAAAAAGAATGTTTTAAGATTAAACATTCATGTAATATTACAAATAAATTCAAAGGTTATCAATTTCAAGTTCGAACAATGCCAAACTTCATACATAAAACGATTTATTCATTTCCAGACTTGCTATTAAACGAATAGATGTTATTCCATGATTCGTTACGTTGTTCTATGAACTATTTTTTTTTCAAAAGTTCTTAAGAACTGTTGTTTTTGGTCAGCCAACAGTTCATTTACGTTTTTCAAAAGTAGCAGAAACGCCCATCTCTATACATCATGAGTGTTTTGAAAGAATACGTATTAAAAAAAAACACTGATCAACTATTCTATAAAATGTGTTTAATTAATCCAATAAAAGGTATGTAACAATTTTTTGAAGGAGCTGCTGAGATAATTTTTAAGCCTGATAGCTCAAACTAGTCAGTGTTATCAACTGTGTATTTTGAAACAATTCGGGTTCAAAACACGAATAAATTGTTGTATGCAATGTGTTTAACCTATTTGCTCAAAGATAACGATTTTTTTTTTCAAAATGCTGGATCTATTCGTAATTCCGATGGTTCAAATTACTTAATGAGTCCATAAGGTCATTATGGATGATTTTATTTGTGACAAAGTAGGTAGCATTACGGATTTTACGAAAGATTTTGGATTGTAGAAAAACAATTTAAGCTCAAAGTACTTAAACTTTTTTTTTTAAATTATAAGTATTATTAATCTTTTTGGTTCTGTTTTCTCAATTTCATATCATAGTACGTGAAGTTTGCGATCGTTTCTGCTAAATATAACCCGACTGTTATACCAAGTTTATGTATTAATAGACATTAATTTTCCAAAAAATCTACCAACGTGTTTAAGTAGGTATGCAAATGTATCCCCTGAGGATACAATTTTTTTTGTTTCTGTTTTTTTTTTTAATTTTAGTTATTTTTAATTATTACATTAAATATATAGTAAAGAAAAGTATTGCAATCGTGATTTTTTTTTTAAGAAATAACCCTTCTCCTTAGGAAATATATTTCGCAACCTTTAGAATGTCTACCCTTTTCTGCGCTAATAATAAACCGTGTTAACATAGTTTTCGCTGTTTTTTATTTACAAACATAAACAAAAGAAAACGAGAATTTCAAACTTTGTTTTCAAGAGTATGGCGCAACCTTTCTTAATAACAAGACTTTTGAAAAACAATTCCAAGAATTATTTATAAGCCGATCAAGAATAAATTTTTTAATTAACGAATCAATTCTGATTCAGTTTTATTTCACCTAATGTAGCCGGAGATAGTATTTACGAATGATTTATATTCTTTGAATCAACGTTATTTATATTCCTAATGGGTAAGACCGAGTACACCAGTTTCTGATTGCATCGCTTAAAAAAATCAAATACAGTTATGAAAGCAATTTATAATTTAAATTCGGATCGGATTCCAACACTGGATTCTATGGATACCTTCAATAATACCTCAATTAATCTATAGCTAATACAAAAAAAAAATAATTAAAATACGAAATGAAAAACAAATCTTTAACGTATAAAAGTTTCTTCTATGCAGTGATAGGCCCTAAAAATATTATTTTTACAAATCTGTAAATATTATTTTAACAAAATCTTTTCATTTGTATCGATAAATTATTAAACTCTTGCAAGATTGTATTTTAAACAATAGCATTAAACTAATAAGTTTTTATTAACATTAAATTTTATTTAAAACCTCTTGAGGCAGTTCATTGACCTTGTCTTTTGATAGGATCCACAGGTAGAGTTCTTGTCTTCATCAGCGCCGGCATAAAGGTGGAAGCCCTACTTAAAGTGTCCATCACTAAAAAGGTTAAAGATCACATGAGTAGAGTTCAGTTGGAATTCCTGGTTGATTCCGACAATAGTCGTAAGGAACAAAACTGTTTATTTATTATTTATATGTCATTTAATTAAACTCTGCATTCATTTTCATAATTTCCATTCATTGACTAAATATAA